AACCATCACTCGATTGTGGATCAGGTTAAGTTCAGCGATGTTTACGATGACAGATTCAAAGATGTAGCAATCCTTGATGGAAGAGGTGACCACTAACTTTAGTGCGTAGGTTAATAGTAACTTTTGATGCAATGAATGTTAGTTCATTTTGCCTGAACCATACAAATTTTCTCACGGTTTTTAATTGCCCCTGCTTTCTTCAAGCCTATTAACCTCACCCCCTCATCCTCATTGAACTCTCGCTTCTATAAATCTAACAATTGTCCATTCAACTCTAGGTATTCTTAATTATGATGTATTCCATACCTAACCCAATGTCACAAAGTTGTCTTATTTGAGAATGAGGTAGCCTTAATTCCAATAACAACACGACTGACACAGTGGATAGGGAGTGCATGTCACCTAGGAGAATGACAACTTCCACCTCTCCGTCTGTTCATGCATGTCTGACCACCAGCTCATAGACAGGTAGTCAGAGAGGTCACACTTGAACTCCTTCCTTATCACTCAGCGCCGTCGTCATCAAACCCCACACGGCAGTACTGGTCGGTCAGACCACACACCCAACTGATTGATATGGATGAGACCTGGGAACGTGTGGAAATGTGGATGATCAGCAGTAAGTAAAAGAAGTAGACTGAAGGCTGAAGTCTGTTAGGGGAAGGGAGACACTTAACAACATTTTCAACAATTTTGTTAAGAGAAAATTGTGCTGGTAGTAGTCTGTATTCGATAGGGGTCATGAAACAGGAGGATGTGGGTGTCAAAGGACGGGGCGATGAATAACCCGTTACTAATTGCGATTGTGGATGCAGGTTGGAGGAGTTAGGGGAACGGAGGCAGATGAGAATGCAATGACAGAGAAGGATAGGTGATTGGTGGCTAGCATAGAGGACGAATGCCTGAAGAAGGAATAGGATCACTAAGTCAGTACCAGTTGTAATTTTCTCGATGACAGTGAAAGTAATTATCTAGATAGCTTTGATAGGACGAGAAGACGGCTACAATCATGTGTTAATGCATCCAGAGGGAAGCGGACCTCAAGATCTACTTGTACTGAGTGAGTTTGAAAGAGCCAAGAGCTGGACAATGGAATTGCCGAATGCAGAGTTGATAGTAGACAAAAAGAGTAATGAAGAATTGGGAAGAGTTGTCGTCGGAGTTAAATTTGGAGTGGCAAATTTTGTGCAGATTGCGAGCAGCTCAGGAGCGATTCAAACACTTTTCAGAACGTGATTTGGAGGTGCACTTGACTTATTGCCTCATTGATAACGACTTAAATGATTAGCTAGTCGGCCAATAAACGGTGATGTCCTAGAACAGGTAAGGCGCCACATGTAAAACTGATTGTACACGCAGTTGTAGCTGTAGGTGTGGAGTGTATTTGAGCGCATAAATTGACGTCTTTTTAAATGAGCGGTTAACTGCTTAGTAAAAGAGGTATAGAAGGAAATGGTGTAAAAGGTGACTTATTAGTAGCAAAAGATTCAATGTCCGTGTGAGCTTTCCACCATGTTATTCGGGCCACGATTTTAGTGGTATTGTATTTACCAATGTAGTAGAAGGTATGAGAATAAAATTGAGTGAGGCGGGGTGCACCAGCATCCAAGACCTCGCTTACTGATGTTCATTTCCTCAATACCCTGTTTGGAACCTCGATAGAATCCAGGCCAATCCATTTACACAGTCGCAAAACACGGCGTTATGTGAAAGTGTAGTTTGCAGTTACCCTGTGCCTTAAGGAAAGTATGCTGCAAGCATCGTCACCTGAATAATGCAGAACGTATAGAGACATCTGCAGGTCCTCATTTCTCTTAGCTACGACAGAATTAATATTGTCATTTTATAAATGATTCCAACTAACGTCTGTTTAACAAAAAGTTGATGAACAAAATGTAGAAACAATTTTTTTGAATTTTGTCATATTTATTTTAATGCCTGATTTTGCTTTTTTCATATTAAAGTTATTAATTAACAGATAATGACACCGATAACCTAGACTTCGCCACTCTAAACGTGTGGCAACGTCATTTAGCATGCTACGGAGTAAATATTTAGTAGTAAGAATATCGGAAACAGCGACCAGCAAGTAATTAATCAGCGATGCTTTATCAGTTTGGTTTGATTTTTTTGCCTTGACCTGCATATACTATTCCAAATACCGCACCTTTAAAATAACCTGGACTACATCTGCTAATCTTAATCACACCTTTTCTATGCGCCGTCAGCACACAAAAAAGACACCAGATAAAATCTAAATGAGGGTAAACCCGATTGCTTTTTAGAGCGAATGGACAGTTCTCTTAACAGTTCTGTGGTCGTGCTCAATTATACGCTTTAAAATATTCACCTCAAATAATTTATGTGTAAAACTATTCCAAATTATTAGTAGAATGCGTTTCAAATTTGCAACTAAGCTAGGGCTTGTAAGTTTACGCCCTAAAATAAATCTTCTAAATTAAGTCTGTGTCATTAATTCCTCCCCATTCTAATGAGGGTTTCCGCCATTAATTAAAAGCATGTTTTATTTTGAGTGCAAACAATTTGTTGCTGATTCAAGAACGAATCTGTTATGCCTATACATTGCAATGTGGTGAGTAATTGCTTCCGTGTGTCCTTATTTTCTTACCTTTGCCTAACTGCTGGATATTTACTACTGGGCATTCAAAATCCAACCATTGGCTCAAGTCGAATGGTCAGGGCATTATTGTGGAATACTGTGGTGCAGAAATTGTGGCAGTTGGCCTCACTTTGCACAGCGAGTAAACCCGAAATGCGGTTACTGTGCTTAAATGCAGTTTTTTAATATCAGAGCCTCAAAATGTGTAAGCAGCACGAAACACAGTAGCGAGTGGCCCACATTGAAGGGGTACCTGGACGCGCTCTACAAGTTCCTACCGGTTGCAACAGATGGAAAGCACGAGAACTTCCTCTGCTGCCCAGCAGATTAGACAACTGCACTTGTCATTACATTGACGCAATTAACTACAGTTCTTGTCGTTTTACAGGTCCAGGGAATAATTGGCACCGGCATACAGGCACGTAAGAATTTGCTCGCGAAGCAGCCTTCAGCAAGGTGGAATTCCCTACCAATGATTGCGAAGGCAATATTGAATAATTGTGGCAAGTTTATTATTGGTGGTATTTACTATGCTAACATTGAGAAATAATATCTTGTTTACGTTCATTGCAATCGCTAGGATGTGAATCGCAAGTTGATCCAGAAGAGGTAAGGCCGTTTGATTTGACATGTGCCATGTGCCAAGTATACATTGAACACAAGGTCGCTGCTCATCCCCGCAGAGTCCACTAGCTGGCCATCAGGGTAGAGAGCACCGGTCTCTGGTTCCTTGTAGTTCGACGCCACGTTAGGTGAGGCTGTGCCTACACCTGCTAAAATGATGAAAGCAGCACCATTTTATAAAGCACCACTTTTATACAGCCACAATACATCACGACAATCCTTTAACTGCTGGAAGAGGTTGGTTTGGTAATAGGTGGCAGTGCCTACAAAATACAATGAGCGCGAGACTTATTTTACAAAAAAGCAGTTTTTCGTGTTGGGGAAATGTAAGAACTTCCTTGAAACCAAATCCTACTTATTAATTTGGAGCAAGCACTTACAAGACAGATGATAGGAATCACCAAAAAAACCATGCAAAGCTTTTAGTGTTTACATCTACTTGTCTGCGAAAACAGATTTTCTGTCAACAATGTCTTGGACAAATTTATGAAAATCATAACAACCAAATATGACATGGATTTCAAAACTGAATACCTTGACAAATAATGCCTTTCAGCAAATCAGAGCAATAAAAGATCACGTTCACAGGTGCTTAGGCAGAGGCATTTGAAAAAAACTGCAAAGGCTGGAACATGCCGCATATGATACTTAAGAATTCGCACTCACAAAGGAGGATTTACAAGTCTCTCGAAAAAAGCAGCAGCACGAAAAGGGGACAGAGTTACCTTTGCGCCTGCCTTGGCAGCGAAACAGTCGTAGACTTCACCAAGAGCAACTTCACAGAGGCAAAGGCAGCTCCAGGGGCACTGATGAGGTCAAGCACTAGCTCCAGCGGATTTGCTCCCAATGAGAGAGAAGGCGTGATGGAAGAAGCAATTCCCACTTTCCTAAATCTCACTCATTATTTGCCGTCACGGTCTTACTCTATACTGCCATAAGGAGAAACTGCCTTGCAAAAGCAATGCAGAACACTGCCAGAGAGGACACAATGCCAGGTCATGAAGCACTAGTGGAGTGAAAAACCAAGGCCCGCACATTCCCCTTTCCCTCCTTCCAAGCCGTTGTCGCCATGATGTACAAGAGAAATGCATTGCACACATACCAAAGGAAAATAGCATAAATTCTAAAGCCCATTATCTTGATAATACAGAAAAGAGAAGAAACCGTACAAAGTTGCTTCTACCTTCCACAGTGCACCTATCAACAAGGATTTACCCTACGCAAAAAGCAATGCAGTTAGGAAGGACTGCATAAAGAAATGACAAAGCTCAGTGTTATTGCGTTGGAATAATGAAGAAAATAATAATATTAATAATGGGATAGCAAAATTCCAAAGCAAAAGCAATTGCAGTTGGAAGACATTGTAGATGAAGTTGAAACGAACAAACGTGTCAGAATTAAAGGTCAGCAAAATCATACGCACAGAAAACAAGGAAATAGACGAAATAAACTAAGAGAGGAAAGTGACCAAGTAACGGTACAGGTAAGCTCCAGTGAGAGAAAAAGATCGCTCCGCTCTGCCTCACGCGTTGCCGCCGCCACGGCTTCCCATCACACTTACAGCAACGCAAAAGCAACATCGCAACAATTATCAGATTGCTAGCAAACCGGTGTCTTAATTAAGCCC